TAATCCAAATTATGCGTAAAAGATTATTTTTATATCCATTATTTAGACCGTATTTTTATAATAGATTCCCACAAGGTCGATATCTCTGTGTCCATATTGATATTCGTTTAACTTTTGTCTAAAACATACCCTATTCTTTGGGTATTCAAATCCACTTTATTTTGCTGCACTACAATGAAGGTGATATTTGCATTAAGGACAATTCATTATCGTTCTATGATGGCTTATATTAGATAGAGTATGCGTGACTTTATAAAAGAACTACTAGTTGTATATATATGTGATTTGTATCTGTTCAGAAAATATGCACTTATCTGGTTCAAAATTATTTCAGACTATTCTATAGATGTTCATATCCGATAAATTTATTTATTTAGCTTAATCGTAATTCGAAATTGTTTATTAGTTTACTGATACAGTTTTTTGCATCTTAACTTCAATGGTAAAGACGTAAAAATGTAGAAAAAGGTGTGTTTCTTTTTCAAATATTTTTTTATTCATAACCTTAATATATTTTCCTAATTCTCCTCAGCAGTTCACTATTTGAAATTAATGTTCATCGTGAACTGAGAATACACAGTGTTATTTAACATAAGGGGATAATAAATGGTTTTTTTCCTTGCTAGGAATGTCTGTGACTTCTCAACAAGCATCAATCCAGAACCTTCAGGTTACCTGGGCGATTCGGTATTTATAAGCTACTTGGTCGCAATTCATCGTTTTGTGTTATTCAAATTCTGTCAGTTAATGTTACGCTATATATCATTTTTTTGGTCTCAACAGTTTTGCATTTGATAAGAATCATTTCGAAAATTCTATGGATATGTAGATCATTTGATGCTGGCTTAGCGGTTTCAAGGTCAAGCGATAGCCATGACACGTGAAGCTGCTTTGTACTAGGACATCTAGTAAATCTTGGTATTCCATGGTTGTCTAACTTGGGTCAGTTGGTTATTTCAATAGAAAATCTTCAAAAATTCTAAGATCAATTTTTTTTCACAAATTTCTTTCATTGGTGTGTTAACATTCATACGTCGTAAAAGGTTGACGATTTACCGATCGATATTTTATTTATTTACCCTTCTTTACTTCTTTCTGTCTTTCTCCTTTTACTCTCTATCTATTTTACACGACAATTGTGAAAGTTGGTTAAATTTTTTCTACAAATGTATAATATTTGAAGAATTTCTGTTTCAAAACAAGTTAGTTTCTATCTTTATTCGATTAATAATGTACCAAAATATTGTTTATTTTTCTCCTTGTTTTATGGTGATAACCTGTTGTTAAATTGAATTGTTGAAGGGAACATGCAAGAGTAGCAGGGAATAATAGATCAAGTGTTTATATTACTTCAATTAAGTGATATACGCAATTAAGTGTGTTTAAATACTTATTTTTCATCTCGTTTTTTGTCTCTATTGAACTATTGATTTACTGATTAAATCAATTTAAGTTTTCATAGAAGTTAAATACTAGTTTAATCGTTAATTGAAAAAAATGATATGTATAAAACAGATCAAACTTTAATGTATCTGAATTTAAGATACACTTTTTGGTATATGTGTTTCTGATATTTTTTAACTGCAAAGACTGAAATAAGTGGGACAAGTTTTAAACGAATAGTTATGGTGATTGAATGACAAGTGCTTTAGTGTCTAAATGATTATTTCATATATTATTCACCAACAACACTATACTATTGATTTGTTCTAAGACATCTTGTAAGACCGCCCCCAAATGCCCTGGTACGGCCGAGAGTGGGGAGAGTCCGCTCTCCCTCTCGAAATGCTCTCAGATGGCCACGCGTATATAGCCTCTGCCAGGGAAGTCCTACTCACTGCCTTCTCGTGGCGGGGGTGTTGTTTACAAAAATGTGAGGACGAAAAGCGAATGTCCGGCGCTTTAACCGGATCCCAAACTGATGGTGCACATGGGCTCCAGTATCCTGCGGGAACAAAGGGCGTATGGACCAATCGTTGGTCACCGGCTTCCATGGGACTGCATCTCCTTACGATGCTCCACTGCCTTCTGGGTCAAACCTTTAGGTCAAAGGCTCGGGGAGTGGCCCCCTTAGAAAACCACCTGCTTCGATTTGGGCACCCAGGCAGTATCACAGCCGTCACACATATCGAATAAGATTTGTGTGGCGCATATGTATTTGGTGCCTTCTTGTACCAATATCTATGTGTTAAAATAAAAAAAATAATAATAATAAATCTTGTAAGACCACCTAGTGTTGCCATTCTGATTTGATTGTTATTTCACGTTATGAGTTTTTCTTCTTTATTACCCCTGATGCCTAATTGCTATGAGTTACCACAGACTAATGATTAAGAAACGGAAGACGAATGATTAAATAGAATTGATTAAGCTACTACCGTCTTCTGTTATTTTTAACATTAATACTCTTTCAAAAACAAAAGTTGAGTGAAGAAAAACTATTCTTTTTAATTAGCTATTCATCTTGAATTCACGATAGTTGTATGATCTAGTGATTTTTTTGTCAGGTTTTTAATGTAAATTTTCGATCCCGGCTCAGTAGTCTAAAGCTTAGGCATTTTCACGTGAGACCAAATGTTCTGGGTCCGATTACCGGATATGGGGTCGTCGATGCATACTATCGTTGACGTCTATACTTGGATGTAACGGTCATCCAGTACTTCCAGGTTTTCAACGAAGCCCTGGTTTGTGATTTAAAGTATGTTAAATAATAGTCTGAGACTGATAGACCCTGGGTTCGAATCTTGCGGGGGGCGAGATCGTGGATGCGCCTTGCTGAGGAGTCACGCTAGGACGAAACGGCCGTCCAGTGCTTCCAGGTTTTCTATGGTGGTCTAGATTCAAATGACTCATGATATCAACTATTGAAATTACTAAAATCTCCACAAATCCCCTTCTGAAAATAATAGTCAGTTAGTAAGTAGGTGATTAAAAGAAGTCGCATATTCGACTTTTACTAAATTCGTAACAATTTTTTTCCTATATTGAGTATGCGTTATTTTTGTCCGGCCATATCTTTTAAAATAAGCAGACTGAATATACCACCTTCTCTTGTAGAAAAGTTCTATTTCAGTGTTTTCAATTGTAGTTTCTACTTAGTTGAATTGGTGCAATTCAATGCAATTACATTTGTAAAACCTATAAATATGGTCAAATTGACATTTAATAGGCAATTTCACACTTTACAAGTAACAACCGCTGTGAAATGTTTCTCGAGCTACCGTGAGTAGACAAAAATGTTGCTGTTTGATCTCGTTTTTTCTAAGAAAATGTTTTTCGACTGCCTTTTCTGCTTATTATACACATATTATACACATGCTCATTATACACATTATATCTATGAAAAATTACTCCGTGTACGTGTTCCGAATTATAAATAGTTTTAAACCTAGCTTTTGACTGTCTTTCTACTTAATTTTCCATGCTTCACGAATATATATATATACTCTTTGAAGTCAGAAAGTTTTTAAAATCAGAAATAGCTTGGTGACCATTTGCGAATCTTAAAACACGTTGGTTATCAATTCCATTAATCGATATCACTCATGTACAAACTGTAATATTAATGGAAGTTAGCATACTTATAAATAATTGAATAGTAAAGTTAGTATAATTTACATTTGTATGATTCCAAATAACTGTTGTCGATTAAATGTAAGATACCTTTTAGTATGTTTTTACTTTTGAAAAAATACACATTAACCACTATTTCCCCTAATTGTATCCAACATCTATACACTTTCTATTAAATTTCTCGAATCCCACGAATAATTAATTCCTGTCCTATTTATTTTAAAGTTAATATTGTTTGATTCGTAGAAAAAAAGTCAGATAATCAATTATATTTAGCTATAATACGATGCCTGACCGTTTGTTTAGTTTATTGTCACCATTGTCAGATCAGTTCCTTTATCTGTAATGAAACATATATTCGTGGATGCTTTCTTTTTTATTGTAAACTAATGAAAAAATTTCTGACTTCCCCAAGTTGCACATTGCAGCAATAAGAAAATATTTTCTGTAGTCAGTATAGTTAGCAGAACTTATTATCATCATTAGGTTTTCTTTAAAAAAAAATTTTATGCCGTGTATTTTAATGTTTCTTGTCTGTCTTTATTTTCATATCCGGGAAATCAAGTTACTTTATTTCGGAGCCATCATTTTTGTTTCAATGTTTTTTCTTCTCCCATAAATCTTAAAATTATTTTCATGAAGTATTGTTTGAATTTGTTTTTCCATGTAAAAACACTTGGAATTTTATCTTCTGTTTAGTTTTTAATTAACCTAAATTCAAAATGTCCACTTGAAATATAGATGATCATGAAAATACTAATATAGCCTTACAGTGATTGTTTATAAGCCATTACAATACACACACTTGTTACATAATCTACTTTTTATAAGTGCAGTAAGTATCCTGATCATAAAAAAATAAAATTATTTCATATTTAATTTTGCTTATGGTATGATTTCACCAGTTTATAGGGAACTATTTACTACGATTTATATTTATATTATCCATGTGTAATTCCAAATGTTCTCTCTAATATTTTTGACGATACAGACGAACAAGTAAATAATAGAAACATAATCAGACTGTTTGATCAGTGTACAAATTTTTAATAAATTATTTTATATTGTTCTGTGTACCATAAACATTTTTATTGTATCACATAGAATTCTAACATTAATAGTGAATATTTTTGGTTGCCTGTTACTGTGAAAGAGAAAGTCGATGGGAAACACGGTGATATCAATAGCTAATTAATGGATAATCTAAATAGTGTTTGTTTTAGACTAAGAATTTCGACTAAATATTACATAGATATATTTTTATAATGTAACCATTGCTTAAAAAATAAACGTCTTCAGTTCATGTTATATTCTGTCTTATATTAACTATTGATAATCAACTAAAATGATTGATTAGCCGAACTATGACTTATTACGCAACATGAAAAAAATTCAGACGTGAAAATTAACGAAATATTTCGACTTACAAATTAAGTAATTCTGTATACTTTTGTGACATAGTTAATAAACTGTCATAAGTGTTTCCATTGATTGTTGCGGTTGTCAAAGATTCTGCTGGCAACTGATTGTTCATTATTTAATTTTTTTTTTCACTTCTGTATCTTTCTATACTAGTGTTATCGCTGTTTTCCTTGATGAAGGATATGTTCTAATATATCACTAACTCTATATATGTATATATATAAATATTATGTTTATACATGTCTCAATTGAATCCCATCTTGGATACTTTATAAGATAATGTTTATGTATTAAATGTGGTAAATATGTGTAGTATTCTATTTATCAATATTTCCTGATTTCACTCATGTAATTATATTTGTTTTTTTTTCCATATTTTAAACAGAAAACTGTTATGACTTCCAATTGCTTATTTATTTTCTTATAAATACGTGTGGTGTGTTTAAATACATTTTATTTAAAAAAAATTTTTTAATTTAGAAAACGGACATGCAGATATTCCCCTCTTGTCCAACAGAATTTAAGTATTGTGTGCGGTCGTGTAGTTTTGCTTGTATAATTATACACTGACACATGTACTGATCACGTGTAACTCACCATGGTTTTATATGATTCAAAGATGGTAATAATTTTTTCGAGTCGAGAACTCAATATGTTGATTTCTTTTTTTTCTTTTATGGCAATACTTTTTTTTCTCAACCATATTCATTCACATCTCTTCTGGGACAGGTATCAACATACACACGCACTGTTACAATTTCTAAGAACAGTTATCTAAAATATTTATTTATACAGTTTCCATATACTTCATTCTACATTAATAACTAACATGAGATAAGTGATTTTCGTCGTATAACATACTTGATCTTTTCACAATTCTTTTTTTTATCTTCAAGTCTGTTTCCTCTCTTATCACTTTTCTTTCAAATCTGTTGATGTTTTTTTCCTGTAGTGCTGTTCTTGTGATGACTTGATAAGGAAAGAAAATGAAATCGACTTGCTTTAAGAAATAATTATTAATGGATTATATATATCTTTGCATATTTCACGGGTTTTTTTATGATTTGTTCTTACTAAACATAATGCCTAGTTGCGAAATTCTATCTCATTAGGATTTCCTGTTTATAAATTTTTCGATAAATATTATATCTTATCGCATTATATTCAACTTGATATCTTTAAATCTAATGTATCTTTCATTATTTCCTTTTTTACTTTGCTCTATAATAATTATTATATATTCTCCGTCATATTTAAATCTGTAGGACGAAAACCTTGACAGAGATTATTTAACAAAACTCTTTATAATAATATAAAATAATTCAACTGAAAAATCGATTTATTTAAGCTTTAAGCCGGAGTTGTTTTGAATCTATGTTAACGATCTATTTATCAACAAGATCCAGTTGAGTTATCATAGGGTTAAATCGGACTGCTGAGAAGTCCCAAATTACAACAACAATTGATCAGTGATCTCTGGTTTGAAGTTGATTTCTAGTGGACTTCAGTTTATTCATGAATGATCTTTAAATCACAAATAATGTACATTAAATTGTTGTAGTTATTCATGCATAGAAACTGATTACATTTTTGAATATTGGTAATCTATGCAGTTACGCACGCTATCTTGAAAGTTCGGAGATTTTCTCTTGAGGAGGTCTTGTTTATGCGGATGTGAATAAGTGCGAATAATCAAAGCCTTTTTTTTATAAAATAGAATATATTTTTATCTTTATTCTACGGTCTCCTCTTATTCCTAAAATATAAGTTGATTAACAAATTGACGAGTGAGATTAGCATCCTAGATATGCATATAACGAGAAAAGTCCATCAAAATGAATAATAACACATCACTACGAAAACACTTGAGTAATTGATTGTAACTGTGTATATGAGAGGATTTCTTTGCCGTAGTTTTAACGATATATTTTTCAATCTTATTTATTCTATCTACATGAGTAAATGATAGTTGTCTTTAAATAAAAACTCATCCACTTTTTGTTTATTATTCCGAACACACTATTGAAAACTAACTAACGTAATGTATATCCATAAATTTATGTATAATCTTCTTCCAAGTGGTGTATTTGATAATTTAGACTGATATAAATATATGCCAGATGGTATTTCACCTATGAATGATTGAAGTAAATTCTAGTTGAAATATATTCTATTTTAAGGGAGGGCAATGACAATTTTTTCGATGATTGAATTCCCTTTCAATATTTCAAAAAAATTTTGATCAATGTTCCAACGGTAGAACTAGAAGTTACTTAATTGTAAACCAATATGTAAACTCTTGTATTTGAATAATATATATGTACTGTAATTTAAGCATTTTTTTTTATTTTTACATAAATTAACTTGTTTTCTTTTCAGGTGTTTATTTCAGCTATTATTGGTGTTATCCATTTAGTCAGATAAATTAATTACTATTGGGTTACTTGTTGCTTCTTACTTAATTTTTATATGTTTATGTATAGATTCTCTCTGTGCTTGTGTTACTTTAAGAATTCTTTTTTGTTTTTAGACTATCCACTAAAAACTAGATTATATTTCAGTTCAAATTTCAATCGAATAGGTTATTAGGTTTAATAAAAAAAAAAGAATCTACTTTATAAGCTTTCCTATAGCTCAGCTGATTTCAGTACATAACACCGGTTGTTAGTTAAGCCTTTCGAAGATACATCATTACCTTCCCTGCCTCACCTTCAGTTTCATTCATAGATATACTTGTGGCAGCATGTATGTAGAAAGGATGAAGGAAAGGAGTTCTACTAATTTTTCTGAACCTATGTCTAATTGACACTAATGTCTTCGCAAATCCACTCGCGAGTCACTTGGTGGATAGTGGGTAGTATTCAAAAGATTTACGAGATAATAAAAAATATCTTACACCGTTTTGTGGAAGCGATGGCTATCAAACACTTCCGACTTCTTCTGTTTGCAAGAAGACGACGCGATTAGGCTTTTCTCTACTGTGATAACTATGAGTGTAATCAAACAATCTCTTTGTAATCCTTTAATCTGTTATAAAATCTTACTGATGCTCACATATTAATTTAATTAGGGTTTTAAGTCTATATTCTTTTCTTAAATTTGATTAATTCAAACTGTCTTATCATTCCTCTATACCATATCATTACCATGAATATTATTGTGTAGATGTTGTTTCGTGATCTCTAGTCTCTATTCATTTCTCTCTTCAATGTATGACTAATAGTAATCACCTTTATTTCATCTCTCTAATTGTAATTATACTAATCTTTTTAGGGTAGGGTGTTCTACAGTTTATCACTACATCTAATTAGTAAATTAAAAAGTGATTTTTGATGAACAGTTAGAACTGCTTTTACTTATCATACAAATAGTGTATTTTGATTTTCAGTCAGTTTTAAGGCCATGTTGCCATAACCACTTGATATTTAATTTGCTCACAATCTGTTAAACATTCAGTCGATCAATATGCATATCTCTAGTTTCTTTTCTAAATAAGTACTTTTCAGTTCCTTCTCATTTATCTATGAAGTGAGATGTTTTGGCCGATAACCTACATCGATCATAACGAATATGTTTAAATTTGATAAGTTATGAAAAAATTATTTGATACTGGTCACTTGTTAAGCCTCTGATTTATTGTGACCTGAATTGCAGTAAATAAGTTTCCATAATGGAGAATAAAGAGAGACATTTTTAGTGTCTTGATAAGTTTTTAGTCTAAAAATCCATGGATGATTTACAAATACTTCTAATATTCAATCATTGAAGTTTATCTCAATGAATATGTTTTCCACTTGAGGAAGAAGTTCTTGAATTGACTCGACAAAGTCACAATGTTGAGTGATAATTTAGCTATTCAGAAATTCGACTTCCAAATATGTAGGTCACACATCCAGTTACTTCTATTAAGAGATTTGGGCAGTTCTACTTTTTCAAACAGAAAACAATTTGACTTGAAACAATATTAACGCAAATGTGTACTTGATCGTCAATTCGCATTAGTTTCTCCCATTACATCCTGTTTAAAATCACCTCTTCTCCATACTGATCAACTAAATTAATGTCAAACGTTTATTTTGTATTGTGGTGTCGAGTACTATGTTAAGCCCACATAACTTATTCTAGCCTCCGAACAGGCCAGTTTATTCATTCTTTTTGAGTCACATTTTGACCTTGTCAGTTATTCGCTTATCAACTTTGACTGTTGTTATATGTGCGTATGTGTGTTCATTTCTTATCCTACTCATTATATGTCTGTAACTTATTTTTGTTCAACCATAAATATATCGATTCACGCTTGATTAAATGGAGTTGGCTCACTCGCCTTCTCCACCGCGCGTCATTTCGTTTTTCTTTCTTCGCTCATTTGTCTGGATCAACGATTGTATGAAATATACGTATCCGAATTTCATTCTCGTATTTGACTTATTTAATTCCGTTATTCACTAACGCAAGTCGATAATCATATACGAGGATTGACGATATGCGTATTTCAATAATAATGATTCGTATAATCTACCTGGAGTCAGATACAGGGCCACTAAAGTACGATTCACATTTTGTGAATAGCGTTTTAGGATTTGTTTGAATTCCGTAAAGCGCAAGTGTAAAAAAATACTAGTTTCATTTTTATCATAAAATGTTTTCATGTTATTAATTAGTATTTATACTTTTAATGAGATTTAGAGAATAGCTACTTAATTTTTCTTGTATTTAGTATAATTGTAATTGTTTCAGTGGACGCTTTTTATATCAAATAGTTAATTGTAATTTATAGACATCTGATTATAAAATTAATTATGATTAATGTCTGTTACATATTCGGGACAAATAATCTGATTATAAGGTAGAAACTAAACAGAACACGAGATACTTATTAATACACTCTTCTGTGCATATATTACACTAATCCTTCGCGGTAAATACTGTTTGGCACCAATGAAAATAAAATAGTCATTTAATTGTCTTTTTGGTATATTTTTGATAGAAAAGCTTTTCATGTGCATTAATTATATTATGGTAAATAATAGAAAATGAATATGTGTCTTCACTATTTTTTTTCTAATTACCTAAATCAAAAGCTTTATTTTATTTTTATTGATAATTTCTGCGTGTCTCTTGTGAACTTTTTGCTGTGATTAGCGTGTACTTACTTTTTAATGTTTGTTGTTTTTCGCTGGAGAAATTGTGGTTTAGTTCAGCAAGCTTTTTCAAGACTGATTTTTGTCTGTTTTTAGTGTACTAACTAGTTACAAATCTTTTTGTTTTTAAAGAAAAATTACAAACGACTCTTCTCTGTTCAAGTGTTCTCTTTATTGTACTACAGTAACCTGATAGCCGATTTAAAAGTTCTTGGTACTAATTTGAAGTGTTTTCGATTCATATTATTTACTGTATTGTTTCAAATGTCAAATACATAAC